CCCCGGGCGCCGCCTCCAGGCTGCCGCGCTTGGCTGGGCCGCTGCCCGACGACCCCGCGGAAAGAACCCGAAGCTTGGGGGGTGGTGTCATCGGCCCGCGTGCCCTACGCGTACGCCGCGCACACCTGCAGCCAGCCCTACGCGAGTACCTTTTTGCCGCCCCTGAACCTTCTGGAAAGCTAGCCCGTCACCGTGCGACCTGACACCGGTCTGCTAAGCGACTGTCCCAATGCCGGAAGTCCCACCCTCACGGGCTTTCATTGGTCCAATGCCCGCGGCGGGTGCTGGTGCAGAGCCTTCCGGGAGACGTACGTCCCACCGGTTTGCCCGCGTATGGGCGGTGCCTCACCCGTTTCCATGACAATGGCCAAGCGTCAGCGCACGGGGCGCTGGGAAATGGAGTCCTGCGACTACAACCACCTTCAGAGGGCTCCGACGCGATGGGGGAGTCTTGGGGCTGGTGGTCCTGCGTTTACAAGCCCCGTACCTGACGCCCACTCACATAGCCTCCGTGACCAAATCCTGATGGCAGGAATGCATAAATTGCGTGGAAAAGTCCTGAGGTTCCAGGGGACCACACTAGCATTAAGCTAACATTTGACGAAAACGACCCGAAGGGGCGGGTTAAGAGGCAGAGAAGTGCCGGGCTCGGCGGCTCGGCCTGTGATTCCAGCACTTTGGGAGGCTGAGGTAAGTGGATTGCCTGCGCCCGCGGGTCTGAGACTAGCCCTGGCAACATGACGAGACCTCGTCTCTACAAAATAAAAAATTAGCCGGGCGTGGTAGCGCACGCCCTTAGTTCCAGTTACTTGGAAGGCTGAGGCAGAAGGATCGCAGGAGCTCAGCAGGTCGAGGCTGCGGTGGCCTTGAGCGTGCCACTGCATTCCAGCCTGGATGACAGAGTGAGACTCCAACTCAAAAAACAAACAAACAAAAAAAAAACAGGCAGAGGAAGTTATGCCTAAGGCTCCTGGTTCACAAACATCTCAGCTCTGCCTCTTAAATGGCCATGAGGTCTGGGCGGGCTTTGAGCTCTCCGTGTATCAGTGTCCTGCAAAGGTTTCAGGTCAGCTTTGTAACCTCTATACCAAGAATTGCCAGCTCCTCAACCTTTTCCCTGAGTCTGAGACTGTTCTTGGACGTTTGTCCAAACCATCTGTTTCCCTTGTAAACTTGAATCGGCGTAGAAGGTACTCTGCAGTTTTGCTTGTCCTTAAGTCATCTATTTCTGCCTTGCCCCACACATATACAGTATTGATTCTTTTTTCTCGAATCAATCTAAGTGTGACACATCTAAAAGAAAGGCAGGGTTATATCAAGGTAGATTAACCCTATTGCTGGCAGGGAATTAAAAGGTTTTCTCTTTGCTACTCCATTGTGAAAGTCTTGTTTTTAGGATTCTTTTTTTTTTGAGTTGGAGTCTCACTCTGTTGCCCAGACTGGAGTGCAGTGGCCGCTCCCGGCCACCGCAGCCTCGACCTGCTGGGCTCCGGCGATCCTTCCACCTCAGCCTTCCCAGTAACCAGAATTACAGGCGTGCGCTACCATGCCCGGCTGATTTTTTGATTTATTGTAGAGATGAGGTCTCGCTACCCAGGCAGGTCTTGAACCCACGGGCTCAGGCAATCCACTCACCTCAGCCTCCCAAAGGCGCGGGATTACAGGCTGAGCCACCGAGCCCGGCTTGTTTTTAGGATTCTTAATATTCATGTGTCAAGTTCCTTAATTCGTTTTGTCTTCCTACCTCTATACCTATTTTCATCTATAAGTGTCTATCTACTGTCAGCTGTAACCTCTATACCTATCTTCATCTATAAGTGTCTATCTACTGCCAGCTAAAACTGTCCACACAATTGATACTACTTATAAATCCATGTAGCTCAAGAGAGCTCATCATTTTTGGAATGATGAGTTTTGTGGATGAATTTTGCCAGCTTTGACAGAATTTGAGAACACTTAAGGCATTCTCAAATTTGACAACACTTAAAGTATTCTCAAATTTGACAACACTTAAGGTATTATACTCATGACTTGATCAAATGTTTAGAGACATTATTAACTTTTCTTCTTTTTTGAGTTGGAGTCTCACTCTGTTGCCCAGACCGGAGTGCAGTGGCCGCTCCTGGCCACTGCAGCCTCAACCTGCTGGGCTCCGGCGATCCTTCCGCCTCAGCCTTCCAAGTAGCTGGAATTACAGGCATGTGCTACCACGCCCGGCTGATTTTTTTTTTTTTTTTTTTTTATTGTAAAAATGAGGTCTCGCTGCCCAGGCGGGTCTCGAACCCACGGGCTCAGGCAATCCACTTACCTCAGCCTCCCAAAGGCGTGGGATTACAGGCTGAACCACTGAGCCTGGCCTACATTATTAACTTCTCAAGCAATGTTTTAATGTTTGGAAACATTTAACGTAACGTCTTAAACTCTTTTTTTTTTTTGGAGTTGGAGTCTTACTCTGTTGCCCAGGCTGGAGTGCTCATGGTCACTGCAGCCTGTATCTGCTGGGCTCAGGGGATCCTTCTGCCTCAGGCTTCCAAGTAGCTGGAACTACAGGTGCATGTCACCATGTCTGGCTAACTTATTTATTTATTGTTTTGAGTTGGAATCTCACTCTGTCGCCCAGACTGGAGTGCAGTGGCCGCTCCCGGCCACTGCAGCCTCAACCTGCTGGGCTTCCGGCGATCCTTCCACCTCATCCTTCCAAGTAACCAGAATTA